CCCTAGAAAGTTGTGAAAAATTACGCAGTCAACTAGAAAGTGAACAAAGGAAGATAGCTGAAATTAATGAGGGAAGTTGTGCTTTTCTTTCGCTGCTTTTAGTAGTTGCCCGAAACCTACTTCTGGCTAATCGAAGGTTCTCCCCACCCACCTCTCCCGAAGGGAATTAAGCTAGGTAATTACCTGACTGAACCATATACAACGTATCGATACTATTCAACGCTGTGAGACCACATGACCGTATTAGGGAAATGGGCAGATGTGTAAACCCCACACTGTAGTTGACAAACAGCTGTAAAAACCCCACACTGTTCTCGGTAAGAAGGAAGGTAACAGCTGTGTAAACCCCACACTGTTTTAAGAATAAAGTGAAACACTGTAGTCTGAGAAATATATTAAGATTAGTGTTAGAGAGCCGCAAACCGGGCTAATGGACGGCGGCACCATTCCCATAGTATTCTTCATATGTATTTTAAGCATTTGAAATTATGAATTGAAAATTGAAATATTGTTGCATTTGAAATCCGAGCGAGAATAATTTCAATTGTTGCGATCAGTTATGATCGATCATAAGCAAATTTTGCATATGAGTTATTAAGTAAAATTGATCAGAAGCAAATTCTGATATATTTAAGATAAAATTAGAATACCTTCTTTGGAACTTAAAAAAGGTACATCGACAAACTACCCCAACAGCGCCACCAAAAATTTTCGATACAGTACCACAAAATTTTGACCAATAAAACTAGTAGTACATGATCATGTGGTGATTTTGCCGTAACTACTGTATATTGATTTGATATTTAAAAATCTAGCCGGTTATACCCAAAATGACTGTGCGTAGTGTATAAAATAAATGTATGTAAAATATAGCTTTTACTTCGTTCAGCTTCATTTTAAATCCAATACTATATTTTTTTTAATAATATATTTCAGAGCAGTGGTTTGTTTTAAGCTCAGATTTACATTTTATGTTTTGCCTCGCTTCATTCGACCATACTTTTATCGATCGCAGATTCAAATTTTAATCAAGTCATACGGATATAATTGAATTTAGAAAGTAAACAGACGTAAAGAATTATCAAACCGTTATTAAGATTTAATACTCATGAAATAATAATGTATAGTATTATTTTATGTACATATGAAATGTAACTGAACTGGTCGATACTAGCAGCCCGGTATATATCTGATAACATATTTGAATTACGGTAATATATATGATGATGAAGGTAGCAAAATAGGGTAACTGTAACAATGATTAGATACAGTAGCTAACAAATAAATCCTTCGTTAAATGTTACTTGTCATTTCTTTAAAGATTATTGATTATCAATTCATCAAGCCAGCAAAAGATTCGAAATAAAAAATAAAAAAATATCGCACAAGGCTATGTATAAATAGCACGGAAGCAACGAAAGATATTTCAATACATACAGTTCGTTATTGTCATCTAATAATTAGTAAATATTCTTTCTGCTTTTATATTCACGTATTGATTTAATTTGTAGTACATATTTAGCGTGTACATATACAAAAAATAAAATAATATTTATTCGATTAGAACCATATATTATATATTGGCACAGGGTTAATGAATGTATTAAGTTTTACACCCAAAACTGCCCGACAGTTTATGTACTCGTTTCGTGCACTCGCTTTATTCGTTTATTACTTCACCACTTGCAGCATCACCAACCAGACTTCCCCTTCTTAAACGTCCTACACCGCTAACACACCTTAGATGGTACGGCAAAGCTTATTATGAACTGGTTATTTACAAGAAATTCCAAGTGTCTTCGATCTGTAAGATCGAACCTCTATTTTTTGATTTGTTATGTGTTATTACATCACTGATACAATAAGCTTTCTTATTACATTGTTAGTCTGTCATAATAGACTTCAAAATTATGCTACGTTATCTAACATATTACGACGATCATCACCAACATGTTGTCATGTCATATCTAACCCTGGTACGTACGTACGTACGTACGTACATCGTACCATAAGCGACCCCAACCTTCCCGTCATTTCTTAACCCTAACATACATATATATTTAACTTCTTTAAATAAGTTGATATACCCAAATTTATATAATATATAAAATTTAATTTTTTAAGAAGCAACGGGAAAAATTTTTTAGTGCAGATCTACGCATAATAAAAAATTTTGCAATCTTCAAACCTGGTAGGTATTTTCACAGAAAATAAATATAATTCTGCGCAGAATTTTATCTTTTGTAAAATTTTGCTAATAAAATGAAACATCTAACCCAACAGTATGACAAGCTCACATTCAATGAAAAGAGAAGCGTCTGATTTATAGTTAGTGTTGGCTACGTATTAGATTCTGCGAATTTTACTAGAACCTAGTAAAATGAATATTACATAATGACTGCTACCATTTTAAATACTATGTTTGAAACTATTTCTGCAATGCACATTATATTATATAATTTTATTTTATTGTTTATTAGATTAAATATGCATTGCTAAAGATTTACAATTCATTTACCGTTCTAACTTTAATAAATGTATTAACAAAATTTTTCAAAGCTCATTAATTTGAACTCATTTGCATAGTCGATCTTGCAGTGGTATCATTTCTGACAATCGTTGTCTCGAAAATAGAATTGGGGATCGAGGAGATTATATAAACTCGATTATGTGGCGAAGTTGCCATTAATAAATTTTTATTAAATACGTAATATGAAAATAATGGAATTAAATACTGACGTAACAATACGCTAATACAATTACGCCAACCAATAAATTTAATTAAAAACCGCATGATCACGTGAGTACATAGCATTTTAGTGATCACCCAAAATAGAATCGTAAGTAGATGTATTCTAATTGATGATATCTTAATGACGTTATTATGATATATGTAATCTGTAATAATATTAATACAACATTAATTCGACAAATCTCTAGCGTTTTCACAAAAAAAATTTTTCTCTCAAAAGAAATGTCTGATCCACGAAAAAGTGACGAGTTGCCTGATCCACAAAAAGATAAAAATTTTACTGCTGGTATAATAAATTTATGTCTTCTACTCATAAATTATTCACACTATTTTTTCGTGTCGAATATCTACACTAAATTTTTTATTTTGAAAAGGAAGAGATTCAAATTCCGCTGTAGCGTCTCATGCGCTTCCAAAACATCATTATACAGCGGACCCCAGCGAAGTTCCTGATGACAAACAAAAATGGCAAGACCAAGAACACCGTGTACATGTCGGTAATGATAAAAAAGGTATGCATAAAATGAAATATGTCGCTTATTCAAATGAAAT